CTTCTAAGTATTCCTTTATATGTGGTTCAGAGTTCTGGGACCATCCCCTGAGCCTGCTTGGTCGGGTATTCTGTGTTGTTGTTGGCGGAGCTCTCTGCTATACGTCCACCCGATCCGCCATCTTGTTTGTTCCTCCCGCCTCACTTTCTTGAAAGATTTCAATTTTTATTCCATCAATTCCTGGTGCCTTATTCTTTGTCAATTCCTTCAATGCACCTTGAACGTCTTCCTTCAGTATCATTGGCTCTTGAAATGGTTGAACATCAACCACTTCCTTTTGATACAGCGACTCTGTGTATTCCTTCCATCTTCTTTTGATGCTTTCTGCATTATTCAATAATTTCCCCAGAAAATCCTTCAATAACAAAAGTTGAGGCTTGAATTTTTTCTTTTCAATTCCCCCAGCTTTAGAAATGCTGAGCGTGTTCTTCCCTTTTGGTTTTCTGACTCCAGATCTTTGCACATTTTGTTGTAATATTTGACTGTGTCTTCTCGAGCTGACCTTTGAAATTTTCTGTTCAGCTCTTGTACCTCCTCATTTCATCCATTTGCTGTAGCATCTCTATGCTGGAGAGCAAGTTTCAGTGTCTGTTCTGACATTCATTTTGATCTTTTCCTTCTTTCTTGTCTTTGAAGTAGACACTACCAAATTCTCTTTTAATTTGGCAGGCCTTAGGTTTTCTTTGATTTTGTGTAGGGCCTACATCAAACCATTCTGAACCAGAGGGCAGAGGAGGGGAGGGGACCAGCCAGAGAACCAAGTTGTATTTGAAACTGTGACCTTCTCCTTTGGTAGAAGGAAGACAAACAGCGTGTCCTCATTGCAGAAGAACCCGCTCTACCCCATGTGTTCCCAAAGGCATGATCGGGCCACCACAGGAGACATAGATCTCAAATTTCTACTTTCCTCTGTTCCCTCAAGCCACTCTCATCATCATCAATGATTTTGTTACTGCAGGAGACTCCTGCATCATCTTGTCCTCAGTCTTGTACCCTTGATCCATTCCCTACCACGTCATTGCCCATGGGGTAAACGACTAGAATTCTTAACATGGCTCACTAAGCTCTTTATGATAGGGCCCTCCTTCTCTCTCCAGGCTCATTGCTTCTTGTCCCCCACCTGGCTGTGCTACACTCCAACTATTTAAAAAAAACAACAACATGCTTTGGGTTCCAGGTGCTTGCCCATTCTCCGTGATGCTCTTCTCTTTGGCACGCATGCTCCCCAATGTCCTTTCCCTTTTCTGCCTTCTTTCCATCCTTCACTTCACACATCACCTCAGTAGGAAGCCCTCCCTATTCACAGACTGGGCTGGACCTCTAGTTTAATCTGGGAACCCATCTCTCTGTTGGTCCCTCTCCGTGTCTGACACATAGAAAATGCTTGCTTTCTTGTTTATTGAATAAAATCATGCAAAATAAATGGTCAACAGAGAATCATCTTCCTTAACCCAGAAGAGTGGATCGATGCCAACACTGAAGGAGTCTGAGGAAGCATCATTTGGGACAAGTAGTTGTCCCAAACTACTGTGCCTCAGAATTACCTGGGAAGCTTAAACAGACAGCTCCCTAGGTCCTGGGGCCATATTTGTAAAGTTCCACACAAGATTCTGAGACAGACATTGGCTGATATTTGAGAAATCAGTGATTGAATCCATTCTCTTCATTTTACAAATGGGAAAGCTGAGGCTTAGATGGAGCGGTTAAGTGAGGGATCCAAAGCCATCAGCCTTGTAGATAGCAGGACCTTGACTGGCATGACTCTGACCTTAATTCTGGCTATGGCAGCTTTGTCATTGTAGAGGGCCAGAAGTGGGGAGGAGGGAGGTGACCTTCACAGGAGGCACTTGCCAAGTAGCCAGTTCTGGCCCCTTCATGGACTCCGAACATGTATGAGGAAGCTTCAGAGTTTGTGGAAAAACGAAAAGGTAAAATAAATGTATAGTTATACAGAAAGAACCCTTTTAGCACTTGGAACTTTCTGCTTCTCTTCAGAAAAGAAGCGGGCAAAGCTTCCTGAGCAGCCCACACCCCCCATTCAGGAAGAACCAGAGCCTGTTAGCAATGTTCTCCAAGGAGACGACATCCTGGCCTTAGCCATTAAGAAAGAAGACTTGAAGAAGGTAAGAATGAAGTCTACTGTGCTGGCCTCGAGGATCCAGAACATCACCCAAGTCCGCTGTCTTGCTACTTACTCATAAAGTGAGTGTTTCATTCCATGGAAAAATCCATTGAGCACAAATACCTTTCACTTAAGCATTTAAAGGATTTTACTCCATTGTTTGTTGTAATACTTTTGAGATGCAGATAGAATTGAATTTGAGAGAGGTGTCTTTGTTCCCACTGTAGCGGGTCCCCTTACCCCCCATCTTACAGGTGGGAAAATGTGTTCAAGGAGCAGTTACAGATGTGGATAAAGCCACTAAACAGCAGCCCCATACTTAGCTGGAAGAGTCAGCCACTTCTCACCTGAACTGTCGGGAGGCACACAGCATTGGTTTTTGCCTCCCAGGCATCACTGAATCTCTGGTCTCTAACTCAGGCTTTTCCTTGACAGAACCTATGGGCTGAGCTGGAGAAACAGATTGATCAGTCCTCAGGGATTCCACCAAGAATTAGGACGAACAAGGTGTGCTGTTTTCTCTCCTCTTGATCTCCAGTAGAATTCTCTTGTTTTATTTCTTTTAAGCAACACACTCTTTGCCTGGAAACGAAAGATAAACCTGCCATTACCAAGAATGTTACCATTCGTAAATTCAAACCGAAGGATCCTATGAGGAAGGCCTGCCACTTAGTAGCACATCCTGCTACTCCTGATGCGGCCACCAAGCCCCTCGACTACTCTGGTATGCCTTACTGGGCCCCAGCATCTCTAGTCTCAGATGGCAGGTCCTGGAGACTAAAGTAACGCCTTCAGAGCAACCCCCTCCAGCTTGTCTTTCCCCTTCTCTCTTTCCACCCCAGGCCTGGGCGTCAGCTTAGGTGACAGTGACCAGATCCTGCCCCACCACATCTTGGGGAGTCTTCAGGACTTTAAGAGGATTGCACTTGCTCGAGGGAATACCCAGGTCTGTGTGCAGAGCTCTATGGATGAGAGAAGTCTGGAACCATGCCCACCTCACCACCTGGCTGCTTCTGTGCCGAGTCTCACATGACAAGTGACTCTCCCCTGAAACAGTTGGCACTTTAGTTGCAAGTTACAGAAGCCACTTTAAGCTGATGTCAGCTGAAAGGAGAAGGGTCTATTGTCAGGACACAGAAGTGCCTCATGGACCCCAAAGACCAGGGTGTATCAGCCTCCAAGTAGCCTGCTCCAGCTCAGGGTCCCACTGTTCCTCTGTGCGCCTTTCCTCTCCCCTCCTCGGTCCACGTGGTGGTGGAAGGTGGTCTCCCACAGCTCCCAAGACCACGTGGTGGAGAGTCTATCTGCCCTTCCCATATGCTATGCTTTTCCCTGGCGCTTCTTTCTTCTGCTTTCCTGATTCCATGCAGAGACCCTCTGATTGATCAGGAGCTAAGGGAGCTGGGGTGAAGGCATCAGTTAGTACCAGTTGTGAGGGGATCAGACAAACTAAGAAATGTTGACTACAGTCTTAGACCCAAGCTTCCCATTCTGGGGAAGGGGAGACAGACAGCAGTTTCCAGGCCTCCTGACACTGTGGCTGTGATTTGTCTTCTGTATTTGCTACCCTGGGGTCCTGGGGACAAGAAGGTCTCTGTAGGAGTGGCATGACCCACAGTGGAGAGGTGGGCCTGGTGAGATCTCAGTTTGGCCCAGTTAAACACCTTCTTACCACTCTCCACTCTTTTTTTTTTACCACTCTCCACTCTTGCACCTCGTACTTTTCAGCTGGCTGAACTGATCCATACTCCACCCTGTCTGATGACCCTCATCTCAGAGCAGGAAGAGCCAACTCAAAAGGAAACTCCCAAAGCAAAGAAGGCACATCTATGGGCCCCACCTTCTCAGCACAACTTTCTGGAAAACTGGAGACGCAACATTGCCCTGCGGAAGAAGCAGCAGAAAGCCCTCAGTGGTAAGCAGCATCTTTCTCCCCACCTGCCTGGGGCCTGGACTCAGGCTGGTACTGATGGAGTTTGTGCCCTTCACTGCTGTAGCTTCCTGCTGTTGGGCCTTGTTGTCATCGTTAAGTGTCGTCGTGTCAGTTTTGACTCATAGCAACCCTGTATAAGGTTTCTGAGGAGTGGCTGGTGGGTTTGAATCGCTGACCTTGTAGTTAGCAGTCCAGTGCTTATCCTACAGCACCCTGCCAGGACCCCTGCTTTAGGGGGGTCCTAAAGCCCACCCAGTGAGTGGGTACTCGGGCACCTTTTATTCTGATTTGGTGGAAGGACTGCTTGCTGTCTCTAGAACACCTGAAGAAGCCTGTCAGTGAGCTGCTGATGCACACTGGGGAGACCTACAGACAGATCCAGGAGGAGCGAGAGTGCATTGACCGAGCCCTTCCTACAAAGCATGATGGGAAGGTAGGGACACCCTCTCTCCAGCTCCCTGTCAGGAGTAGGTCTGAACATAGGGATGGTGGGTCTCAGGTTATTCAGCTGAGAAGAAGAATGTCTATTCATTGAAAAGCACTGTAATGCCCTTAGGCCTTTTCTAAATGATGTATCATTGATCCTATGAGAGGGGCTTCACAAAGTTTGTAGAAAATGGAATTAAGAGATGATGGAATTTCCCATAAATTCTTTTGAAGCCCTCGTGTTATTGGGTGCTCCGGTGGTTAGAATCCCCAGATGATATAGGTAAGTACTCAGGTGCCAACTGAAAGCTGGAGGTTGGAGAGCCCTTCCAGAGGTTCTTCAGACAAAAGGCCTGGTGACCTTCCAAATAATCCACCAATGAAGACCCTCTAGGGCACAGTTCTCCTCTGACACTTCAGTTGATATGAGTCTGAATTAACTTGACAGCAGGTTGTTTGGTTGTGTGTGTGCTTTTTGAGGGGTGGGGAGAGAAACTAGTCAATTCAGTGATTCAGTCTGGTGGTGGGTGATGGTCACTTTGAAGAGAAAGACATCACAGGCGTGGCCCCATTGGCCTTACATATGTCTCCAAAAGGTTCAGGCTCCAGCTATTGTATCGTCCGGAACGTCATATGAGTCGTGTGTCACAGTATCTTAGTGCAGCGCCTGTACTAACCCACACTGTCTTCCTGGGGTTAGGGAAAGGCTACACCAGCAAGCATTACTTCCCTCCTGCCATGAATTCCCCAGTGATGGTAATGATGAATCCCCCAGAGGAGGCACCTATAATCTGTGCACTCCTATCCTCTCAGTGTCCCCCCCAGCAGCTCCCCAAGGTGTCGGGGTGACCTGACTCTTCTTGTCTCTTCTTCCTTGCCAGTGCTGTGAGGAGAGCCGTGGGTTCTGGAATCCACTGGAATGTGTGGGAGATGAAATGACAGGTCTGATCATGACAAAGACTAAAACTCAATGTGGCCTCCTGGAACCAATCACTCACATCAGGAAGCCTTGCTCTATCCGCACGGAGATGGGTAAGAAATAGGGCATCTGCTGACTGGTATAGGAGGCAGGACAATGTGTGCTGACCAGTATGGTTGGTGTGAGACACACTTGGGGTCAAGTCCTGGCTCAGTCACATACATCCTTGTACAGCACGTAACTTGCCTGAGTGTCGGTTTCCTCTTCAGTGAAACAGTAGGAGAGGCAGAAGAAACAACGTGGCACTGTAAGCTGAAGAGCCTCGCCGTCTGCTAGGGCAGTCAGGAACCGCGCGTAGCTATTGAGCACCTGAATCGGGGCTAGTATGAATTGGGACATGCTGTTAGTGCAAAATACACACTGGTTCCCGAGATGAGGATGAAAAGAGGCCTTTTCCATTAGTAATTTTTATATTGATTGCATGTTGAGAAGACATGTTGGGTTTAATAAATTGCATTATTAAAATTCATTCCACTTTTGCTTTTTACTGTATTTGAAATGTGGCCACTTGAATATTATGAATTATGCATGTGGCTCATATCTGTGGCTCACGCATTTATCTTGGGCAGCACAGCTGTACAGCTTGCCAGACTGTCTGGGTTCATATTCCAGCTGCACTGGGTTTGTGACCTCAAACAAGTTATTCAGCCTCTCTGAACCTCGGCTTCCCCACTTGCAAATCCTTATAGGGTTGTGAGAGAGCTAAATAATATGTATTAAGAGGTCCTACTCCAACACCCCAAGGAGCTCTGGTAGCATAGTGGTTACGAGTCAGGCTGCCAACCTCAAGGTCAGCAGTTCAAAACTACCAGCTGTTCCACGGGAGAAAGATGAGGTGTTCTGCTCCCATAAAGATTTACAGCCTCTGAAACCCTGTACAGGGTCGCTATGAGTCGGAACTGACTCCACAGCACATAACAACAACAACAACAACAACTCCAACATCCCATAGTAAGCACTCAGTAAAGTAGCTGGTATTGTTAGTGCTATTACAATGCCAAGCATTGGCTCCATGGAAGCCAGTTTGTCAAGGAATCCTGTGACCCTGCTGAGGAGGTCTAGGACAGGAGGCCTGGAGTCCAGTGGCCACAGAAAAGCTGTATTTTTACTCTTCCCAGAAATGGTGCTGGTTGGGTACTCTCAGAGTCCTGGAGAAGTGGTGGGGAAGGAGCAAGGCAGCAGCCTTTGCTAAGGGTCCTTGGGCCCTGTTATAGGATTACCGGCCCAGAAGGATGCTTGGTACCGATATACCTGGGATCGGAGTCTGTTTCTGATCTATCGACGCAAGGAGCTGCAGAGAATCCTGGCTGAGCTAGACTTCAGCCAGCAGGTTGGAAATGCCTCTTGCCCTAGTCTGAAGCCCCTTGGGTGATGCCTGTCTTCAGGTGATTAATCTTTGCTTTCTGACTTCTCTGAGGATATTGATGGCCTTGAGGTGGTGGGCCAAGGGCAACCTTTCTCAGCTGTCACGGTGGAAGACTATGCCCTATTTGAAAGTACCCAGGAAAGCTCCTCTGAAGACACAGAGAATGTGTGAGTCAGGCCTGGGCTCGAGGGGGAGAGGTCGAGAGTCCGTGGCTTTCCCCAAGCACCCACAAGTGTTAAAAGACAGACTGCCCTCCTTGAAAGCAGGGTGCCTCTACCCCAACCTCTCTGGTTCCTGCCACTTCCTTCTCTAGCCCATTCCAGCCCCTGTGCTAGCTTTTCCATTCCCATTGGCTCTGCTCCAGTAGCCAACTCCTAGTGGGGCTGTCCCAGACGTGAATGGCTCCATGGTGAGGTCTCGAGTCTCTGAACTTCTAACAACCTCTCACCAAAAGGCACCTGAGTCAGAGTGGAGCTGATCTTATTCCGTTGGAGTACAGAGCTGGTGGAGGGCTTCCCTGGGCTTCCTGGTAGCCATTTCCATGGGCTCTGTGTGGCTTGGCTGTGTGTTCCAGCTTCAAGGAAAATAAGTCACTGGCTTTTCTTACAGAGATGTACTGGTCAGTTACCCTGATGAGGTCCCTATGCCGATTCTTGGCCCTTCCCTGCTATTCTGTGGGAAGCCAGCATGCTGGATCAGAGGCAGTAACCCACAGGACAAGGTAAGATAGTCTCCACTCCCAGCCACCTGCTAGCTGAGCCCTGTGGGTGCAATCCCAAGGTGACTGTGTCACATAAGGAGCCTGCACAGTCTCCTGGGTGCCTTTTTACCTGATCACATGTTCAGCACATCTGAAAATGGCAACAGCGACACTAATTTGAAAAAGAATAAAATCACAAGGCTATAAAGGGAGTGTCATGAGCAGCCAGTGGGTAGGTAGCCCCTTAGCATGTATAGAAACAAAACCATCCCAGACAGGTATTGCTTTAAAGAAGGCCCTAGAATGGACTCTTCAGGTGCTAGAAGCAGAAACATTGATTGAATATACTATCTGTTTTACTTCTATTTATACTATTGAAGGCAACCTCAGACACGGCCACCATTCTGGCATGGTGCCCCTCTTTATGAGCAGCAGTGGGCTCAAATGTAACAACAGTTGTAAGGGTGGTGCAGGCACCTAACAACAACAACAGGCTCTGAAGACCAGGGACGCAGGACTTTGTGTTAAACCTGGGAAAGTTCCAGGCAAAAAGGAACAAGTTGGTCTTCCTAGCCCCAGCCCCCAGCCAAGACATTTCTCATGCCTCCTCCTTCCCCAGAATCAGGTCGGAATTGCTGCCCGCTTGGTCTTTGAAACCCTAGAAGGGAAGAAAACATCTTCAGAGCTGACTGTGGTCAATAATGGTACAGTGGCCATTTGGTACAACTGGCGGCGACAGTCCCAGCTGCAATCTTTCCAAGACTTGAAGAGAAACAGGATGCAGCGGTTTTACTTTAACAACCGGCCAGGTACTTAGGAGAAGCTGCTCTAACCCCGTGTCCTGGCTGGAGCTGCTTTGGTGCGGCATGTCTGAGAAGCCATGCCTAGTTAATGGTCAGCTCCTACAAGTGTTAGTCCCTCCCTGCACCAAGTCCCTCCCATTGTTCTTGCAAAGTGTATGAAGAATGTGAAGGAGGCAAAAGGCAGAGCTCTTGAGGTCAGCGTCTGGTGAGCAGAAACACATAGCCTAGGGGTTCACTTACTTATAAGCCCAGACCTGGGACGAGAATGATCAAATAAATGGCACTGTTGGCCTGGGATTTTCCCAGTTTTCGTCCTGAAATCCTATACCCCAGGAACTCTTCAGTCCTGGTCACCCTCCCTGAGGCCTAGTTAAATACATCTGCATCGGCTTGGGGCTCGTCTCACTTTAAACATCAGCCTGGGGTGGGGTGGGGTGGGGTCCCTAGTTTACACTCATTGGAACCTTAGTCTCTGCCTCTCTCAGGAGTGATCCTGCCTGGAGAAACGAAAAAGTTCACCTTCTTCTTCAAGTCTCGGAATGCTGGGATCTTCAGGGAATCCTGGGAGTTTGGAACTCATCCTACCCTCCTGGGAGGTGCCCTCCTGCAGGTCAATCTCCAAGCAATTTCCCTGACCCAGGATGTTTTTAAGGAGGAGAGGCAGTTACTGAAGGTAAGGGACCCAGGCCCTTGCCGCTGTGGATACCACATGGCTTACCCTGATGTGCTCCCTGGTAGTATGGTGGGGATCTTATGTCTCCCAGGCTCTTCACAAACAGACAACTCTTCTTACCCAATGAAAGTTTCCCAGAGCTTTGTGATGCAGAGGATGGGTGGGCAGGCAGAGGTAGGGGAGACTCATGCAGAGGGCCCCCACTTTGATGAAAAGAAGTGCCACTGAATTTTCTGATGCAGTCCTCCTCCTCCTCATGTGTGGAAGAATGCATTTGAATCCAAATAGAACGAAGGACCGCTCAGTCTGGTACTGTATCTTGTTCATTGCTGTTTGGTAGTTTACAGTGGAATCACATTTATCTGCCAGACTGCCAAGCCAAGCCAAGCCAAACCCAAGAGGCCACTTGAAATCGTGGGACGTGTCTGCCCACTAGTGTGTTCACTCAGCTGGCTCCCTGGCGTGAGTGTGGGTGAGGTGTGGGAGTCTGCGGTCTCCCTGTCATCTGCACACTGTGCCCATCTTGTGCACCGTGGGGTTCTGTGGAAAGCTGAATTTTTATATTCCGTTGTAGCCCCCAAACACACGCCAACTACTTCAGTGGGGGCCCAGCCAGCAGTGATCTAAGGTAATTTTGACGTTGTGTCATTTCTGCTTTCCTGGCTGACTTTAGGGCCTGACTCTCCCCTCTGTGTGTCTCGCTGACATCGGCCCTCTGGGCAGTGTCCCAACTGCACTGTCCCTGCCCCTTCTTCCTAATCTGGGAAATGCCACAACCTGGTCCTATGCCGGATTATCTTTTCTCTGGGACAGGCCCATCCTCTGCATCTGTTTCCTCCTCTTTTAGGAAATAAGGATGTTTCGAGAGACACAAAGACTTTTTTGAGTCTAGGAGCAGGTGCATGAGAGAGAGATGGCAGGAACTCAAACCCTGGGAGGTGCACAAGGTCTGAGGAGCCCAGCTTCCCTCAAAGATCCACCAGGGCTCTGACAGCCTGGCCTGCCATCTTGTGCCACCTTCTCGTTTCCAGAGCAAGCTGTCTGCCCACGAAGCCGTTACCATTGTGGAGAGCATGCTGCAGGAAGTGCTGAAGGGAATCCGGACCCCGGAACGAGTGCCATCACCTATGGATGCCTATCTCACCGAGGAGGACTTGTTCCACTATAAGAATCCTCGGGTACGGGCCTAATGTCAGCCTCCACCCGCTGGGGTACCTGGATGACAGCAATAGCAAACCCTACTGTGTGCCAGGGCTGGTCAGAGCCACTTACATGTGTAACTTACATGTGTAACTTACTCTCTCCTTACAGCAGCCCCATGAGATGGGCACCATTTATAGCCTGATTTTACTCTTTGGAAACTGAGGCACAGACACTAAGTATAATTTCTCAAGATTTCTCAGCTAGTAAGTGAATGCTGGATGAGGATGTTGTTGTTGCTGTTAAGTGCCATTGAGTCAGTTTCGACTTGTAGTAATAGAGTGGCTGTTGAGTTTGAACAGTTACCCCGTGGCGCAAACTGACCTTGTGATCTACTGCTTTATCCACAATGCCCCCAGTGCCTTACATCCACAACCAATCTCATCTGTAAATCCTAATGTACAAAAACAAAACAAAAGTGTTAAACTGGCTGCAGCTGTTCCTGTGGGCTTCCTCCCTCTGTGTTCTTCAGGGAGGAAATTAGAGCAAGCTGGCTCAGCTCTGGGTGTCCCTCACCTTGGCCTCCCTTCACCGGCCTCCCCTTGCCTCTGCTGCAGTTGCATTACCAGTACCAGGTGGTACAGAGCCTGCATGAACTTTGGCACCAGTACATGACCGTGCCCCCCAAGCCTGAGGAGGCCAGGCCGGACGACGAGGAGCAGCTCAGCACCCGAGTCCAGACCACCATGGCCCAGTCAGCTGGGGAGAAGGGCTCCATGAACTCCAATCTCTTGAACCACTTGAAGGGCCCAGTCCTAGAAGCCCAACTGTCCCGGCCTGAGAATGAGGCTCTGCGAGATGCCTTCATGTTCCAGCAGTCCAGAGGGCTGGTCTGGTCTTCTCAGTGGAAAAGCATCATGGAGGGGCTCCTGGCGGAGGAGAGTCCAGACATGGAGAGTACCAGGAGCCTGGGAGAATCTGAGAACCTTCCCTCACCCGACTGGAACCTCAGCTTGGAAGACTTCAAAAAGGTGCTTCTTCTCACCCTGCCCCCAGGGCTGCTGGGGAGGACTCCTGCCCTGAACAAATGAGAGAGCCCAGTGGTCCCTCAGTCCCATGGGCAAGGAAAGAGGCCCTGCTCATGGTTTAGAGAGAGCAATCCCTTGGTACAGGAGGGGCACTGACCCAGCCAACTGTGGGAGTGAGCTGATGGGAACAGAAGGTATACCAGACAGAATCTCTGTGGCTGCAGCCCATGCTCCATATCACCATGCCTGTCCCTAGGGGACACAGGGACCCTTGGTGTACTGGGCAGAGCCTGTTGCCCATGGTGCCTGTGATCCTGCCAGGCAGCGATGACACTCCCCGAGGAAAGCCAACGAGAAGACGCCCTCATCAGACTCAACAAGGGTGCCCTGGAGCTGTGTCAAGAGCAGAGACCGCTGCAGTCTGACTTCCTGTACCAGACCTGGTAAGTGTCCCCACTAATGGAGCCTGCCCCTTTTCCCTCCATTTTGGGGCATCTGGTCAGAAACCTGGGACAGCCAGCCCCAAAGCAGGGCTCCCCTTGAACTCAGGTTGTTGACAGATGCTGCACACATTCAATGCTCAGGTACCTGCTGGAGTAGTTCTCTACTGCCTGCTGCTGTCTGGGGAGTAGAGTAGCCACAGAGAGCAAACACCTCATCCTTTTTTTTTTTTTTTTTTCGCTTCTTCCTACTTCCCTTTTCCCTCTCAAAGAGGAGAAACCAGAGGGCAGTGAGAAGAGGGGTGGGTTCCATTCAAAACCACCCTTTTCTGTTGTCAGCCTTCCCTTTGCCTACCTATGAGGAACCTGCTTGCATTGGCTAGGTGTTTTCAGCACTGCCCAGGGAGTCGTGTCCTAGAAATCCCATGTATGGTTCAGCCCTCCAGTGGGGCTGGGCTGCAGTCACAGTTTAGACTCTACATTCATGGGGATCTCTTAACTCGAATCCTAGGTCACTTAGCCCTGGCTGCTGCCCACACGAAGCCAGCCTTCTGTCTGAGCATTTGCAGGGATGCTGCAGGGACTCTCTGGTCCAGGAGCACAATGCTCCAGCATCTGGGAACAGAGGGCTCTAAGTGGCTGTTGGGTTAAGGCCAAATGAGGGGCACTGGTTCTTCATAAATATGCCCTGGCCCTCTAGTTTGCAGCTGTGGCGGGAAGTCATTGACAGCCTGGTGAGCTACTCCCTGTGGCTGAGGACTCTGCTGGGCCTGCCTGAGAAGGAGACTGTTTATTTGGATGTGTCAGATGAGCAAGGTTGCGCATGGTCTTCCCCAACTCCCTGCCTCATTGCCTGAGCCATGTGTGTCCCCAGGGCAGGACCTCCACTCAAGTTGAGTTGACAGAGGAGGCCCCTGCTACCCTTCTTTTTCTACCCGCTGCTAGATTTTGGGAGCCAAAAGCTACCTTTCAGACCCCCGCCCCTAGTTCAGTTCCCTGGGCTTGCAGGTCCAGTCCCTGAGAAGGTATATGGCTTGTCCATGTTGTACATGGGGTGGGGGGTGGGGGGTGGGACTGGGACTAGAACCTGGATCTTCCCCTGCCCCACAGTCCTATTCCACAAGGTCCTGCCACCTGAACAAGTAGGTCAAGGAAAGGAGCTCCCCTCAGAGCAGACTCTGCCCCCAGTCTGTAGGAATTGCCTCAAAGCTGCTCAGAGCCCTTCCCCCCTCCCATCTCCCGCCCAGTGACCTGCTGGTGACTTCCACTCCACTCCTATAGATCAGAAATCACCTCCCATCATGGAGGCAAAGACACCTGTTGGAAGACTGGGGAAGGAGGACCGGAAAGGGACATCCCAGGAAAAGAAGCCACTAGGAATCAAAGACAAAGAAGATAAAAAGACAGCCAAGTTGCCAGTGAAAGAGGCATGCTAGGAGATGGTCCAGGTCCCGGGAAGGGAAGGGTTGGGCCACCACGGGAGAATCTTAGAGGGACTTGTTAACAGTGATGCCTGGCTCTCCCAGGGAGCTGCTGATGAGAATGCCCCGGACCTCGGGTGCCATTGAAGCTGCATGTGTCTCTGTTTCTCCTAGCAGGACCGTGTAAACAGCAAGAAGTACAAAGCAAAGGAAGAGAAGAAATTAACAAAATCTGCAAGTCGGGACAGGCTTTCCATGGAGGATATTGTCCGCGACAGTACCACCCCTTCCCAAGAACCGATAGACCCCCTGGTCATGGAGAAATACGTCCACAGGCTGCGCATCGAGGTGAGGATAGGAGCCCAGCACTCAATTCTCCCCTCGTTCCCAGCTGCCCTGCTTGTCTCTCTCTCTCTCTCACTCATTCACTACGGTTACTCCACAATGAGAAGCATCACTACAGGCATGATTGGTGATTGAAGCCCAGCCTTCCTACTGTGGGAGACAACCTCATCAATAAGTAACTTATCTGGTATGCTAAGTGATAAGCACTATTGAAATGAGAAAGGCAGGGCAGTGGGGAGGGGGACAGGCTAGGTCTCACTGAGAGACAGGGGTGAGTGGCACTGTGGACATCCCAGAAGCAGTGCTCTAGACAGAGGAGAGAGTGAGTCAGCGTGGCTGGAGGGGCCGGAGCAAGGGAGGCTCTCTTAGTTCTGTGGGGCCACTGTGCAGAAATACCACAAGTGGATGGCTTTAACAAGTTTATATTCTTTCACAGTTTAGGAGGCTGGTTGGTGGTGGTTCTGTACTGTGGAATTGGTTCCAACTCATTAGCAACACTGTGTAGGGTTTCTGAGGCTGTAAATCTTTACGGGAGCAGAAAACCTCATCTTTCTCCTGAGGAACCACTGGTAGTATGGAACTGCTGACTGTGAGATAAGCAGCCTGACTCGGAACCACAATGCTACCAGAGCTTTTAGGAGGTTAGAAGTCTAAGTTCAGCATGTTGGCTCTAGCAGGGGAATACTTTCTCTTTCTGTGGGTTCTGGGAAAAGGTTCCTGTATCCTTTTGGCTTCTGTAGGCCCAGCATGTGTGGATCATGACAAGCTATACAACATTGGGAAGTATTCCTGAACACTTAATTGTGCTCATGAGGAATCGGTACATGGACCAAGAGGCAGTTGTTCGAACAGAACATGGCAACACTGAATGGTTTAAAAGTAAGAAAGGTGTGTGACAGGGTTGTATTCTTTCACCATCCTTATTCAACCTGTATGCTGAACAAATAATTTGAGAATATATGATGAAAAACATGGCATCAGGATTGCAGGAAGACTCATTAACAACCTGCGATATGCAGATGATACAACCTTGCTTGCTGAAAGTGAAGATCAAAGAGCACAGCCTTCCGTATGGATTGCATCTCAATGTAAAGAAAACAAAAATCCTCACCACTGGACCAATGAACATATTTATCAGTGGAGAAAAGATTGAATTTGTCAAGGACTTCATTCTTCTTGGATCAACTATCAACACTCATGGAAGCAGCAGTCAAGAGATCAAACAATGTATTGCATTAGGCAAATCTGCTGCAGAAGACCTTTTTAAAGTGTTGAAGAGCAAAGATTGAGGACTAAGGTGCACCTGACCCAAGCCATGGTATTTTCAATAACCTCA